AGGGGGCTATGCTGCTCTGGCCCAGGCTTGTCTGTGGGAGTACCGTGGTACCGTGAAGCTTACCTGGTCCATGTCTTCCCAAGCAGTCTGGGTGTGGGTGACTGGCGGCCCGGGTGCCCTCCTGGTTTCTCCATTTAACGTGAAGTGGAGATTCTCTGCACTGACTAGAGGTGTGGAGGGGTCAAATTATGCCTCTTCTCAGTGATTTTGCCTGCAAAGTGTGTCTCCAGCATCTCTCCAAGATTTCACTATAGGAGGCTTGCTTTCTGCTTCCTCCCTCTAGCTGCCATCTTGGAATCCTGGTACTGGAGCTTGAACTCATTGCCTTATCCTTGAGCCACTCCACCAGCCCTATTTTTGTGAAGGTTTTTTTTTAAGATAAGGTCTCCCAGAACTATTTTCGGGGTCTGGCTTTGAACTGTGATCCTCCTGATCTCTTCCTCCGGAGTAGCTAGGATTACAGGCATGAGCCACTGGCACATGGCAGGCAGGAGGATGTTGAGTTCAAGGTCACCTTTAATTATTTGATTATTTTTAATTAAGTTAATTTAAATAAACTGACAAGACAGCTGGGGGCAGGATTCAACTGGTAGAGCGCCTGCCTAGCAGGCCACCTAGGAGTTCAAATCCCCATATCACCAAAAGTAAGCCCACGAAGCAATGGGTGAGAACGTGTTTCTGAGAAGGCATTTGGATACTGGAGACTGGCAGTGTCCACTCAAGGGTGGAGCACAGAGGGGCGGGGAGGGGCTGCACCCCATATCGTGTCCTGTCCATCTCTTTATTGCACCCACAACACACCAGTTAATGGTAGTGAGTGTCTTCCTGAGTACTATGAGCACTGAGCAAAGTAATGGACCCCGGGTGGGGATGGTGGGGACCCCAGTGTGCAGCCGGTTGGTCGGAAGTTCCCAAGGCCTGGGTGTGCAATGGGGCCTGAGGGGGACAGTGTTCGGGACCCAGTTCCCAGCCTCTGGGATCCAAGTGGGCAGTGTCACAACTGAACTGAATCAGAGGATATCCAGCTTGAGTCCTCTTCAGGACTGGCTGGTGGGGACAAATCCCACCACATTTGGATGACCAGGGTGGCAGGTTATCTGTGTTGTGCTGAGCTGAGAATATAAGCCTCGAAGCTGATCGGATTTCTCTGAAAACCTGGAAAAATGAGGAGCAGAATGATGGCGTGACAAGGAACCCAGGGCCCTGCAGATGTGAATGCTCTGTAGAAACAATTCAATCCCCTAGTCCCATACTTGCGGTTCTAAGTCTGTCCCCCTCTGTCACCACTCAAAATCCATCAGAAGAGGTTTCAGAATAGTACCTAGGGAAAAACCATGTGAAACTCCAATCAACTTCATGCCATGGATCCCAACCCTGACTAGCATGGCCTTGAGTTGCTGTGAGGGACGAGGGTCATACACTGCTGGTTGGCCTCATTTAGATTAGTCTTGGTACCAACTAGTCCACCCACCCTTGTGCCCAACAGTCACTGAATGGCTGGGTCCAGTCCACAGGGGACATCCCAGACATGGTGGGTACTGAAGACCACATGAATGACTGGAAGTATCAGGGACTATCAACACTTGGAAAAATGGGTCAGGAAATTGATGTGACTATTGAATAAGGCAATTGATGAAGAAGAATAAAGAAAACACCAAGAATTCAGAAGCAGTTGTTTCCTATGTAAATCTCAACCTAAGATAAGAATCCAGACGTTCTTTTCCTCCCTGATAAAAATGAGCAATGAAAATGAGGGCAGCACCTTCCTCTGAGAATTTTTGGAGGTGTTCAAAAAATCTTCCAAACCTATGTGGAAGTATCACACAATCACTGCTGGTTCCATGCCCAGTGGCAGAGGGAAATACTCACGTGCCTCTTAGGGTGTCCATCAATGACAGTGGCACCTTAGAATTATAAGGGAGCTGTGTTGGGGTGTAGCTCAGTGATAGAGCACTTGCCTAGCCTGCACAAGGCCCTGAGTTTGATCTCAAGCACCACAACCAATCAATCAATAAACAAATAAATAGTAATGGAGCTGAAAAAATTTCTAGGCAAGTACTTTTTTTTTTGGTGATGGTGGTACTGGAGTTTGAACTCAGGGCCTTGGACTTGCTAAGCAGGTGCTCTACCACTTGAGTCAAGCCTCAGCCCCACTGGGTACACCCTCATGTGATATCCTGTTGCCTCTCAACTTCCATAGCTTTCCCGTAATGTCCTCTCCTGCGCATGGTCAATCAAGAGGAAAATCCTGGAGCTTTTTACTGTTGAGATGGAGTCTTGCAAGTCTTTTTGCCCAAGCTGGCCTGGGAACACAGTGCTCCTAATCCCAGCCTTTCTTGGGATGTGTTGTCATCCAAGCTATTAGTTGAAATGGAGTCTCCCTAACATTTTGCCTGGGAAGGCCTTAAACCGAGATCTTCCCGATCTCAACCCCCCAAGTAGCTTCAATCACAGGCTTCAGAATAGCTTTTCTTCCCCTCCCCACCCCACTAACCATCTACAACTGTTAAAACTGTCCTTAGCTCTGAGGTCAGATGTAAGCAGACAGCTGGATTTGGCCCTGGGCTGTTAGTTCACATCCTATTACATTCCACCTTCCACCTCGCTTCAGCTCCTTCTTGCCTCCCTGAGGAATGCATGCTTCTAGACTAAACATCAGAGGTCCTCATGACAAAGCAACTGTCTCCTTTCCTCCCTCTTCTTTCTGCCTTGGTCTCTGAACCCTCCTGCACAGCCCACTAGTTTAACTGGGCCTGGATATTCCTACCTCTGGGCTGTATGGAGCTCCTGTACTTCTTGCAAATCGGAGTTCACATATATCAGTCCTCATCAGGACCAGTTCCTCAGCCTAAGCCCAAAGTTGGGCAGATGGACCTCACCCCATGGTCCATGGTTGCTTCTTTCAAATCCCTTATCTCCCTGCATTGCTCTGCAGGGAATCCCTGCCTTGTGATGTTGCTGAAAATGGTGTAATACCAAAGAACAAAGGAAAATCAGAGCACACAACTGAATACCTAGCTCACATTCTTCTATTATGGGGGGGGTGAGACAGGGTCTTGCTATTTAGCCCAGTCTAGCCTTGAACTTTTGAACTTTTGATCTTCCTGCCTCAGCCCCCCACGTGCTGGGATTAGAGTTGGCACTGCTGTACATATCACTCAAAGACACTTCTTTAAAGAACTGTATTGTGCCAAGTGCCAGTGGCTCACACCTGTAATTCTAGCTACTCAGGAAGCAGAGATCAGGAGAATTGTGGTTCAAAGTCAGCCTGGCCAAAGACTGGGAGATCCTATCTGGAAAAAACCCATCCAAAAAAGGTCTGGTGGAATGGCTCAAGGTGTAGGCCCTGAGTTCAAGCCACAGGACCTCAAAAAATATATATATAGAGAGAGAGAACTGGATTGTCTTTCTTGCCCTCTTTCCCACTGAAGAACAATGTGCCCTGCTTGGACCCAGAGATTAAACTACATACCACGTATCTGGAGATGGCAAAACCATCTCCAACCAGCCCCAGGATGCCTTCTGGAAGAGTGAAATAAACTTTGTGTGGTGTTGGGCATGGAACTCAGGGTTTCAGTCATGCATGCTAGGCAAGCACTTTACCACTGAGCTACACCCCTGGTCCTCAGATCAACTTTCATCTTCTTCACATCACTGTATTTTTAGGCTCTTTGTTACATTAGTTTAGCCTGGATGACCCAGCTAACCAGGTGAAGGCCCTGGACTGCCCTGTGCATCATGCTGGGGAAGGCCACCTGTAGGTGCTCTCGGCAACAATGGAGTCCAGCTTTCCACCTGAGGTCACCTTGGGTCCCCAAATCATCCAGCCCCTGACTGAATACTACCAGTGTGGCCTCCATCCAGGCCACAAAGAATGGAAGACCCATGTTGCTGATCCCTGCCTGAATTCCTGCCCTATAGAAACAGTTGTTGTTTTAGGCCACTAAGTTTTGGGACAGTGTTCTGTGCAGCAATAGCTCATTGGAATGGTTGTTACTGATGTTGGACCAAAGAGAATGTAAAGAAAAAGGGAAGCATTCTGGAATAATAAAATATCTCTTTCAGGAACTTATAAGACATAGGCTTCTACAGCACTGATAACATAGCTTCAAAATATGTAGAAGGTGTAAAACTAATGAATAGAGTAGGTGAGTTATCCAGGTATGGACAACTGCCCGAAACTGAATTAAGAGCCCTCTCACTGGACAGTCTAAAGTCTCCTACCTCCAATGGGTTATAATTTCCCAACCCCACACCTGACCTTACCATCCTTGGTTTTGCCATCCCACTCAAATTCCCACACTAATTAGTATGAAAAAACATTGACTATTTGACAGGATACCGTTTTTCTCTACACTCAGCTCTGCATGACCTCTCCTCACTTCTGCCTGGAGGAGAACTGGGAGGGTAAAAGGATAGGGAACAGCAAACATGCAGGCTGGGGGCATGGCTCAAGTGGTAGAACACGTGCCTAGCAAATGCAAGGCCCTGGGTTCAAACCTCAGTACTGCCCCAAAAAATGAAAATAAAAAGAGAAGCATGCATACTACCTTGGAGAATCTATTCCAGTCAAGACATCAGAGAATGTCAGACTTCAAGGTATTGTTTGGATTATTCAATTGCTGCCATTGTGACTGGGACACCAAAGAATTAGTCCAAAAGAATATAATGACTTTAAGTATACCTCAGGGATATTTCCTGATCACCCCAGAATATCCCAAGTATTACTCAAATTACTCTTGAGCTCATTAATGACATTTTATACTTATTCCAAGGACAAATCAATAAAACTTAAGACACTCCTGCAATAGTTTAGAATAATTCTTCCAATGCTCCAATATTTGTTGGTGAGATTTGGGGATTTAGTGTCATGGTCGTAATATCAGCAAAGGGCGTCTAGAAAGGGCTTCTGAGGGGGAGGAGGAGATGGAGAAGGACGAGGAGCCAGGTGTGGAGACCTCTATGACTTCAGGGTGTCTCCCTCCTTTGGAAAGTCCTTGCTAGGCATTGTCCACACCTGTGGGAGAGGAAGAGGTGTACTTCTGTTGGTTGCACTCACTGTTGTGACCCAAACTGGTTCTTGAGGTTGAGAATGAAGCTGGAGAGGAAGGTCTCTGATGCAACTGCTTTTCCTTTCCTCCCTCCCTCTTTCCTTTTTCATTCTGCCTTCTATTTATTTTCACCATCCATCATTGTCCTTTTCCACACCCATTTCAAGATGGGGCACACTGATGGTGGTGAGTGCTTTCAAGAGAAGGAGAGTGCTGTCAAAGAGTGGGTGGGAATTAGTGGATTTGGGGTGGTGACATATCCCCCAAAGTCCAACAGATGCTCTTCAAATGAATTAGCACAGTTGGAATAAAATTGTGGTGTGGATGGAAGGAGTGCTCACTTCGGTAGCACCTATACGAAAATCAAAGAAGGCTATGGAATTGGGTGAATCCAACTGGAGAAAGGCAGGCAGAGCTGAGGCGTCAGCAGTGGCTGACATCATGTTTGGGTGGGAAGATAGATGTGAAGCCTGTGCTTGGATAATTTAGTCCCTTCATGTTACAAGTATTTACCAAGTGCCTGCTACGCACCACCAATGTAAATCCATTGTGGATGCCCCCCATGGAGCTTAGACTTTATTGAGTGGAGGCAGAGAATTAGAAAATAAACACATTAACCAAAAAGAAGCACACGAGCAATAAATGTGGCCACTCATGGGAAACAGGATGGCAAAGTTATAGAAAAATGTGGATTTACTTTAGAAATGATGGTCAGGGAAGCCTCTGAGGATGAGGTAATCACTGATGGTTTCTGCAGTACAGGAAAAATGTGGCTATGCCCAGTTCTGGACATGGAAGAGATCAGGCCTGGGTGTGCGATCACAACTAGAAACAGGTTGTGGGTGATCTCTGGACTGAATAGGAAATCTCAGCTGGAATGTGAGGCAGAGTCTGAGGTAAAGGAATAGAGCTGAGGGGAGCACTGAGGCCCAGATGGGAATCGGAGTGGAGGGTTGTGGGTGGGACATTGTGACTATAGGTACGGGGACTCATGTCTAACTGTGGGTTCATCCCCACCCTCCTTATCCCCGAGCCTCTGCTCACTCTTCCACATTCCCCATCTTTACCTCTAATCTCCAATTTGGCAAAAGTGTCCATCAGAGTCCTCTTGGAGGCCCGCTGGGTGTGGGAATAAGGGAGCCCATCTAGGAAGAGGAACAGGACGTGAATAGCAAAAGTACTCAGGCCTCCACACACTCAGTTCAGAACTTGGTATCATGAAGCACAGTTTTGTTTCCCTAGTCCTTGGAGTCTTATGGTGGCTCTCAACCAGTGGTAGTTTTTCTTACAGGAAACATTGTACCACATATGGAGACTTTTTTGGTTTCTTTTGGGGGGGGGTTGGTTTTTTTGGTGATACTAGGGTTTGAAATCAGGGCTTCACAATTGCCAGGCAGACTCTCTACTGCTTGAGCCACATCTCCAGCCCCTTTGTGCTCCAGGTTGGCCTGGACCAGTCCTCCTATTTTACACTTCTTGCCATAGCTGTAATGACAGGCATGTATCACCACACCCAGCTCTTTCTTTTGATATAGGATCTTGCAAACTTTTTGTCCAGGTTGGCCTGGAGCCACGATCCTTCCCATCTCAGTCTCTTTAGTAGCTGGGATTACAGGTATAAACCACCACACTCAGGCTGTCTATAGACATTCTGGATTGTCACTGGTACCAGTGTCTCTACTAGGACAATACTACACATCCCGAAATGGCCACTTTTGGTCCCTATAGCCCAAAATTTTCCAGCTATCTCCAAATGGTACCAGAGCCAAGGATAAGAAACCATGACTTCTCTGGACTTGATTATTCCCTTGAGCAGGTAACCATGAGGCAGAGGGTCAGTTCAAGTCATATGCTGTGTTCACAGTGAGCACACTAGTGTCCACACTCTTGAGCCTCTACAATGCTCCCCCTTGAGGTCCAGAATAGGAAGCAGAGAGGAGTTTCAGAGAGATTATTTGGCCAGGTAAGAAGACAATATAACAGGGTGGACAGGGTTCTTGCAAGAAGATTCTGCTAACAATCAAACCAGGACTCATTGCCACTATGTGCCAGATGTCCTAGGAATCCCTTACCGAGTCAGACATTCTCTTACTGAGACAGACACAAAATTATGAGGTCATTTATACCATATGGAGGAATCTGAAGCTTGGAGTAAATACATCACCTGCCCAAGGTCCCCTAGGTAGTAAGTGCCCAGGTGATGGACGGAGTCCACACCCACCAGTTTCCAAAGCCCATGGTGAGCAGGAGGAGAAAGAGGAGACACTGGATTTGGGGGGCCCACTCACTCACCGATGGCTTTCCACAAGTCTAGGATCTCACGAGCAGACTCCCTCTTCCTGCCTTGGTCAGCTTTTGGGGAGATGTGGAGGACTAGGGAGGAACAGGAGAGACCAGGCAATCTGTTAAACGGAATGATGTACAAACAATCCAGCAAGTCTGCAGCGCAATTCACTTGACAGAGCACCACCACTAGTGCTGTAGACAGGGTGCACTTAGCCATACCTACTTACCAGTGAGGAAATTGTAACTCCACAGCTAAGCCACGGCCTCAGAGTCACACACCGCTGCTAAGTGGCAAGATGGGGGCTCGAACCTACCTACATCTTGACAAACTCTCCCGTTCTTTCTGCCCTACCACACTGTTGCTACAGCCACTGAATAAAGCCCAAACTGAACCCCATCTCCAGCAGCACAGGGATCTGGGGGTGTCACTGGCTTAGCAATCACTGAGCAGCAAACAGCCAAATGTACATGAGCCCAAAGAAGATGCACTCAGGAAGTGGGGAGGCAGGGGTGGAGGAAAATAAGCAGGAAGGAACAGCAGATAGTGGTTGCATGGCACCCACTGAGTGCCAGCATCACTCTAACTCAATCCTCCCAACATTCTTATGTGGAGGAGCCATTGTTATCCCCACTCTCCTGGAGGACCAACAGAGATTAAATTGCCCATCAAGCAAGTTGCAGCCTCAGATCTGACCCCTAGACAGACCCTAAGCTCATCCCTCCACTTGGACTGACTCTCCAGACAGATCTGGATATAGATCCATAATGTAAAGTCACAGACCAATGACCGTAGGCACACTGCTGCAGGTGTGGCCCAGGGACAGAGTGTTGAGAGCAGATGCACTCACCAGGTCCCAGAAGGTAGCCGGCACTATTGAGGGTCCAGCCTCCTCGTCCCTGGATGGAGATGAAGACATCACAACTCAGGCAAACAGAGGGTGGCAGGACCCACACGACAGTGACAATGTAGGTCACCTTGCCACTTTGCCACTAGCAGGGACACAGGTTTGCTTACTTCCCATTTCAGCCTCATAAGACAAGTAACTTGGAAAAGGAAGAAAGTTTTAATGGATGTTGGAGTGAGGATAGAATGGTGGCTCCAGGGGCTGGAGGACTGCACTCCACAGGAGCCTGGAGTTAAGAATAAGCTGTTTTGAACTTTAAAATATGTTGAAAGAATAGAGCTCATATTAAGAATTCTTGGCCAGAGGCTGGTGGCTCACGCCTGTAATCCTAGCTACTTAGGAGGCAGAGAATAGGAGGTTCGTGGTTCAAAACCAGCCTAGGCACGTAGTTTGTGAGACTCCCCCATCTCAAAAATACCCAACACAAAAAACAGGGCTGGCAGAGTGGCTCAAGTGGTAGCCTGCCTAGCAAGCATGAGGCCTTGAGTTCAAATCCCAGTACTGCCAAAAACAATTCTCAGAAGAGAGAGAGAGAGAGAGAGAGAGAGAGAGAGAGAGAGAGAGTGAGAGAGAGGGAGGGAGAGAGAGACAGAGACAGAAACACAGGAAGTATTTGAAGGTGTTGATAGGTATGTTTAGAGTCTTGGATGTGGCAATGGTACCATGGATACACATTTGCATATGTCCAAATCATCAATATGTTACATAAATGTATGCAGTTTTTGTACATTATTATACCTCAATAAAGATTTTTAAAAAGTGCAATACTTGCTGGTTTTGGTGGCTAAATACTGTAATCCTGGTTACTTGGGAAGCAGAAATCAAGAGGATCAAGGTTTGAGGCCAGTCTTGGCAAAAAGTTCACAAGACCCCATCTCAACCAATAGCTGGGCAAGGTCATCACAGCTATTGCAGGAAGCATAAATGGGAGCACTGGGGTCCAGGCCAGCCTGGAGAGGAAACTCAAAATAAACAAAAGTAGTGTAGCAGGGAGGAGGGCCAAAAAAAAAGAAGAAGAAGAAGAAGCAAGCAAGTCTGTGTTCTGATAATATAGCAGTGGGGAGGGGATGGCATAGCAAGGAGATAAAACTTAAAGAATCTAAACATGAGGAAGGTCATATAGCACTGGGTGGGAGGTGAAGTACTCAATAGAGTCATGTGCAACCATAGATGGGTAAACCTTGCCTTTTTGCTTCTGTAACCTGCTTGCTGAGTATATAAGGTGAAACCTGTTTGCTCTTGGGGCTCAGCCTTTGGACGTGAATCCACTTAGCTGCTGCCAGCAGGCTAATAAACATTGATTCCTGAAAAGCCATGGTGTCCCATTTCCCCACTTGAGTATCCCATAACATTTTGGTGGCTCGTCTTGGATTCGGAGGTGTTTTCACCTCCTTGTTCCTGGGACTTGGCATGCCTGGCTTTTTGGGAGAGTGTCCCACCTGTTGATCCGATGGAGGGACTTGCCTCTTCCAGTGCACCAGAGAGCAAGTCTTGGTTGCACAAAGGAACTTGGAGAAGGCTTGGGAACCAACTGGGAGCCCTGCCTATCAGACTGGTGAGAACCCAGTTCGAATAACAGGCCTGCCTTTAGAAGGCAGAAGGGGAGACTGATTACCTCCCAGAGACACCCAAATAACCCTGTCTGGGGTGAAACTGGGTCCTCAGGTTTAGGGAGCAGGGGCAAAAGACACTACCGGGAATTCAGGAGGTTGAGAACCTACTGGGTTTTCTCACCAGCAGGATAGACCAGGATGGGGAACAACACAAGTTAAAAGCAAACACTTTGGGTAAAATGCAAAACACCTCCAGTCTGGGGGCAGGGGGAGGGCGGAGATTGAGCTTTTCTTGGGAAACAGCCACAACCAAGGTTAGGAGATGTAATACAAAAATTCAGTTCCAAAGAGGGAGACTCACAAGAGTTATCCACCATTCCACCCGATAGCCCTCTGGGTATAATAATTCAAAAGTTTTTCTTTTGAGAGTGCACTCTTGTGTGTGTGTGTGTGTGTGTGTGTGTGTGCCAGTTTGCTTAAAGCACTGGGCAAAATTTAATTTGCTCCTGGAATTCCAGCTCATCTTATGTGCACTTGAGGTGACATTTTTTTCTGACATACTCAATTTATAAAACTTTTTTTGTGTGTGTATGATGAGTGTGTGTGTATGTGTAAGCATCTTCAAAATAGTTCTTAAACTGCTGTTGTAAGGTTAATGTGATATTCAAGGTAACAAAGGTGTCTTAAAGATCTCTGTTATAAACTGCTTAAGCTTTTTACATATGAATATGTAAACATCTTGAGAACAGGTCTTATTATGGAGTCATTGTAAAAAATTATTACTCTGTTCTACAGCTACTTTTAAGAAAATCAGTTTTTAAACTTATTTCAATTAGGTCTCACTAGGATGAAGGCATTCAGGGGTTAACACTCTGGCTTAGACCAGAGGAGAAAAAAAAAAGAGAGAAAAGAAAAGCAGGGCCACAGCCTACAGCAGGAATCTTAAAAAATGGGTAGCTAAAAAAATGACCTTAGCCTATAATTCTCTCTTATAATACATGATAATACATGGGTTTATTAACAAATGGGCTTTCTATAAATTGTTTTTATACAAAAAATAATTTCAAGGTTGCTTTCTTTCTGTCTTTTTCATACGAATGGAAGGCTAAGTTAAAAGGATTTATGAGTTATTTTCAACAAGTATGTATATATATATATATATATACATATATATAATTAAGGATATGGGCTTTTTTTAATAAAAAGTAAAAAAAAATTTTAAATAAAAAAAAGGATAAGGACAAGCTCCCCCAGAATATACAAAGTAAGTTGTCATAAAGATACAGAGTAAGTTGTCATAAAAAGATGGAGCTTATAGATGCTTATGTAAGTTAATGAGGTGACTAAAATCCAGTTACATTAAAGGTTTTGTAAGGTCAAAATTTAATGTACTGATGTTAAACTAAAACTTAATTCTTTAACAACGAGGCTATCTTAAAAATATTATATTGTTCTCTATAGCATTTACAAAAAAACTGTCTTAAAAATTTTTTTTTTGTCAAGATAACTGTCAGGAATTTTTGGTGCTACAGGTTAGTCCACAAATTTATAAAAACAACAAGAGTTTACTAAAACACAGAGAAGCAGGAGACAGCTGAGCACAGAGAGTGCTGCACTGATGGTACAAGGGTTGAGACAGATTTACCTATGTAAAGCAAAGTAAAAAAACAAAAACAAAGCCAAAGTATACTCTTGAGAAAGGATAAAGAAATAAAAATTCAAAAAGGAGCACTACACTGAAGATCAAGATGTCCAGTTTTTATTACAGTCAACAGAGAGGAGCTGTTAGTCCTACTCCTTCCACATGGCAGGCGGAGGAAATTTTTGGCCTGGGATGGCCAGCTTGGGCCTGTTATTTTAGAGGGGCTCCATTGACTACAGGTTGGTGGGATCCTGCTGTATGTCATGAGCCATTTGTTAATGTCAACAATCTGGGATGTGATCCCTTATCAGCATCTGAGCCATGATTCCTGGCCATTAGGTTTCCTAACTCCACACTTAGTCCCCATAAATATTTACCTGTGTTCTCTGGTGATTTTTGTCAGGGTTTTAACTACTAAGGTAACTGAGTCATGTTCATTTAAGAGTTTCCCAGAACAGTAGGCTCAGTGGTTTAGTGTTTGCCTAGCATGCACGAAGCCCTGGGTTCAATCCCCAGTACCACCCCTCCCCCAAAAACCAATAACCAGAAGTAAAAGGACTGGAGGCATGGCTCAAGTGGTAGAGCACCTGCCTAGCAAATGCAAGGTCCTGAGTTCAAACCGCAGTACATATGGCACATATGAAATGGCACATATTTATGGTGTATAACATAGTATGTTGAAATCTGTAACTGTGGATGGCCCCATAGGTTAATTAACAGGTGCTTCGCTCATGCTCCCATCTTGTTTTGTGGTGAAAATACTTCAAATCTGTCTTCAGTGATTTTCAGGCCTGGGGTGCTAACAGTCACTGCAGCCACTGTGCTGCACCACTAACTTCTTGAAGTGACTCACTTTGTGTCCTTGGACCTGCATCTGGTAATTACTAATACTCCTGACCAAACAACCAGCGCCAGCCAGCCGCAGCTCAGGCAGCTCCTGGCCTTCCAGGAAGGAAGGCCTTCACGGAGAACTTGGAGGGCCAAGAGGTGAGGTCACCTGCCCAAGGTCACACAGCCAGGGAGTCACAGAATTAGCATCTCAAATTCACCCCCTGTCACCACTGACAACAGGCTCCCTGGGCTACTAACCTGGGCCTGTGTTAGGAAGGCAAGTCCCCCGTCCCACTCTGACATCTACTCAACCAGAAACTTACCTTGGGGTGTTGGTGGGTGGCAGGAGTTTGGTTTTATCTGCCCACCCAATGATTCTCATGTATGCCAAAGTGCTGAAAGATTAGTGTGGCAGGCAACAGCATTTGGAGGCCTCTTTTTAAAAATTTTTTTGCATGTTTAGCACTTTTCATAAGGTTATAAAATGATACATATATATACATAATGTTTTCAATAGTGGGAATGTTTGAGGAGACTGGAGGCTAGGAGGAGGAGGGAGAGGAAGAGAGAGAGAGAGTGAATAATATTAGAATACTTGCATCAGTGTGGGAAGGAGGCATGATGAAACCCACTGAGAGCTGCTAAGTAACAGAGGGTGGGGGAAAGGTAGGGGAGAGGGATAGAGGGTGTTGGATTGATTAAAGTACAATAAATTCGCTGGTGAAATGCCAGGGTGAAACCCCTTTGATCAACAAATGCACAATGGAGGGTGAGTGTCAGGGGAGAGCGAGTGGAGAGGGAGAAGGAGGGTGGATATGGGGATGATGAGGATAGAACAGTGAAACCTGTCGAAATCATTGTAAGTAGGGGATGAGGGAGAATAATGGTGGGGATGAACCTAACCAAGGTACAGTGCAATCACATATGGACATGTCACAATGAAACCCTCTGTACATCAAAGATATGCTATTAAAAGTGTCTTTTTTTTTAAGAAAAGACTCAGAGAAGTGCAATGATTTTACCAAGGCTATATCACCAACAATCTATTTATCTCATTAGCACTTATTGTTTATTTTTTGGGGGGAGCAGAACTGAGATTTGAACTCAGGGCCTTGTGCTTGCTAGGTACGTACTCTACCACTTGAGCCATTCCCCCAGTGTGTCTATCTGATCTGTCTCTTCATTTCCACCACCTGGGAGAAGCAGATGGCCTGCACACTATATTCAGAAAATGTTTGTTGACTGCATTCTAATTCTGATTACAGGGGAATTTCCTGAATTTTTTTTCCTGCTAAAAAGTGGCACGTTTAAAACTGGACTTTAAGAAAGACTGGATTTCTTTCTAGAGCTCCTTAAACCATGGTTTCAAAATATGTTTCTCTCAGACTTACAGGATCTGAGGCTAGATCTCACAGGACGATAAGCTGTATTATGCAGGCATCTTTTTTTTTAGTGGGGGTTGGGGAGTTGGTGCCCAGGATTGAATTAAGGCATCTTTGTGCAGCTCTGAACAACTGCCAATGGTCAGGAAAGTTTTGACTTTGAATAAACTGAATTGTGACCCTGTATTTTTCCTCTGTCTTCTATTCTGCCCCCAGGGTCAAGTTTCTCATATTTTCATGACATTGGCTTGTTCCGTACATCAAGCCAGGAAAATGTTAATGGTTTCCCCAGTATGCCCCAAGGAGGACACTGTTAGCTCCCAGCAATGCAGGAAGGTGTTACCCTGTGGGCTGGTGCAGACACAGGGGTCTCTGACAGGTTCAGCAAGAAGGTGAGAAGGAGTACCATATGGACAGAGGGGGCCATCCCAGGCTGGAAGGACAGGCACAGCTGCAGAACGCTGCAGAGAGAGGCATCAGTTATTCTCCAAAGTGGGTTATGTGCAGTTCTGATGAGAGCATGCTTTATTGTGTAGAACTGAAAGACACACACAAAAAATTTCATACATTTAACGTGTACCACTGGATGAGTTTGACCATCTGCATATACCCATCACTACCATCTCCAAAAATTTCCTTCTGTTCTTGTCTTTGTTTCTGAGACAGGGTCTCACTATGCAGCCCAGGCTGGCCTCGAACTCATAATCCTCTCACCTCAGCTTCCCTAGTGTTCTGTGGTGACTTTCTTTCGGTTAGAACTCATCACTAGAGATCATTCCCCACATTGTCAGCCAAAGGTTCATAGATGTGTCCTTTTGTTATTTTTGTTTCGTTTTTATGGCAGTACTAGGGTTTGAACTCAGAGTCTTGCACTTGCTAGGAAGGCACTCTACCACTTAAGCCACACCACCATCTCCTTTTGTTTTAAAAATTAAAAAAAAACCATAAGTATATCACAGGAAAATAAAACAAGGTGTTTTTGTTTGGTTGGCTGTTGACACAGGGTCTCCTTAGGTTGCCTGTGCTGGCCTCAAATTTGTGATCCTCCTGCCTTAGTCTCCCAAGAGCTGGGCTTTTACAGGCATGCACCATACCATTATCTCTGACTCAAGTTTTTGTTTTTAAAATTTTTTTAAGGAGCTTCATTTTGTACTTAAGCAAAACAAGAGAGCTGGTTGAGGGACAATGCTGAATTAAGTAAGTACAGCCATCCCTGGCATCCTTGGGGAACTGAGTCCAGGACCTCTGTGGATAACCAAATCTGCCAATGTTCAAATTCCTTCTAGAAAATGCCACAGCATTTGCACAGAACCTGAACACATCCCCTTTAAATTGTGTCTAGATGACTAATGACACCTAAGGCAATGCAAATGCTATGCAAATAATTGTCATACTGCATTGTTTAGGGAATAATAATGAAGAAAACGTCTATATCTATTCAGAATGACACAGTTTCACGCCCCTGCCCCTAAATATTTTGGATCCTTGCTTTTTGAATCTGTGGCTTTAGATCCTGTGGGATGTAAGTCTGGATGTAATAGGATATTGAGACCAGGAGAGAGTAGAATAACGGCCACTAGAGGCTGCAAGGGGGTGGGGACAGAGGGGGGTGCCGCATAACAGGTGCCTAAACCCAGGTAGGTAGGAAGACAAAGTTCTAGTGTTCTGCAGCACAGTGGGGTGACTGTAGTTCCAAAAAAACTTACAGATCTTAAAAAAGAACTGGGAGATGGAGTTCAAAACATCCAGACACAAAGAAAGGAGGGGTGTCAAAGGAGACCCAGACTCAAGTTTACCCAAATCTGATGGTTACACATTGTGTCCATGCTCCAAATATTGTCCTGAACAATTATTTTAAATCAATGAAAATGAAGAACATATGTGGCAAACAAAAAGATCTCCACACACACAACTGACCCAGGATTAAGACTCTTAGAGGAATTAACCCCTCTTCTTTCTCTGACCACCCATCACCCATGCCTCTCAGTAACCCCCCCATCACCCCTTGCATGAGATGTCTTCTAGTCTGCTCCCCCTCCACTTCACCCCCATCTGTCCTGTCCCTCTGTCACTGCTCCCTAGTGCCCTGTCGCTAACACCTCATTTCTCTTGTGTCCTCTCCTGTCCCTTCCACTCCCAAGACCCCCTCCTCATACCAGCTCTAACCCCAGCCCTCCTCCATTGGGCCCTGGCTCTCACCTCAGTGAAGTCTGCAGCTTCTTGGGCAGCTTTCTCTGGGCTCCGGTTTTTATGCCTCTGAGGAGAAAGGAGGGGGTGAGGTGGAGAGGGAGTCAGCCAGTGAGGATGGAGGTGGGTGAGGAGGCTCAGCCGCCGAACAAAGCTGCTTCATGGCAGGGAGTGCTGTTCTCTACCTCAGTTTCCCCCAAGACCCTCTAATCCCTGATCCCAAGCATATCTTCCCTTCCTCCTTCTCTGACCCTTTCTGTTGTGTTTTTGGGCTGTGCATCTATTCAATGACTCCTTCGTTCGTCTGTGTCTGCCTTTATTTTTTTGTTTTTTCAGTGGTACTGGGGTTTGAATTCAGGGGCTCATGATTGCTAGGCAAGCACTCCACTGCTTGAGCCACATCTCCAGTGTTTTTTTTTTTTTTTTTTTTTTTTTTTTGCTTTAGTTATTTTTCAGATAGGGTCTCACATTTTTTACCTGAGACTGGCCTGGACTGTGATCCTCGTACCTATGCCTCCCTCATAGCTAATATTACAGCCACCATAACCATGTTCTTATTCTTACTGACAGGCTGGCCTCAATCTCGATTCTCTTGCCTCTGCCTTCCCCGTGCTGGGAGGGCAGGGTAGTCCCCAGGGTGGGTATTACTATGCCCGGCTGTGTATCTGTCTGTTGTGGTTTTTCCCTTCCTCCCTTGACCACCTCCCACCTCCTCTCTCTCCATCTGCACTAGCATATCTGAACCTCTGCACCCCTCCCTCTGCTTCCTCTGCTCCCAGCATCTGGTGTCTCTTGGGTGAGACAGCACTAGGGATGCAGGATGGCCCCCATGACAGCCTTAAGCCAATAGCTCCAAAGGTGAGAACCCCCACAACACCCCCAAAACGGTTCCTAAACATTTATAGGATAATCAATTGTCTTTTGAGATGTTTATTTCTCTCCCTCTTTGCCCCAACAGCAGTCATTTTACTCCTGGCCTGTCCCTCTGTTCCTGAGTTCTCCTCCATTCTGTCTCATTCTCTTTCCAATGAAGGGCTGCACACCCTTTAAGATGCTCTCCAGCTTCCCACTGCTGACCTGGTGCTCCATCTTCATACCAGCCCCACCCCTTAAGTGGCCATTTTGGACAGGCCCCAGCCCTTCTCATCTCAGCTGAGAGAGGAAGAGCCCAGGAGAGGGAGTGGGAGAGGGAGGGCCACAAAGACCCTTGTCCTCAGGCCCCCTTTGTGCTGCCTCAGATCTGAGGGAGGCGGAAGAGGTGGGAGGAAGACGCTCTTAGGGAAGAAAGTGACAAGAAGGTGTAAATGGCTTTGCTGGGAAAGAGGAAGGGAAGGAGGGGTGATGCCCCAGGGCAGGGGACAGGCAGGAAGCGGGGGTGATGCTAACCTAGAGGAGGTTACCTGAGACCACAGAGACCTTACTGTCCTTGGCCAGTTCTGGGAATAGACACATCAGGTCCAAACCTATCTCTCAATCTCTCAGTCTCTCTCTCTCTCTCTCTCTCTCTCTCTCTCTCTCTCTCTCTCTCTCTCTCCCTTCCTCCCTTCTTCCCTCCCTCCTCCCTCCTCCTTCTTTCAGCCCCTCTCCCTCTCTCACTATCTCTTCAAAGAAACCCCTTTCAACAATGAGTAGGGACTTTGAAATGAGGGACAGGATTATAAAACAGGTCCTGGGTGGGGTGAGTACTTGTGGACAGGGAGGGTGAATATGGTGGATATACTTTGCATGCTTATAGGAAATGGAACATTGAAACCTCATGTAATTGTTTTAAGTAAGGGGAAGGGGATGAGAGAGAGGTCATGGGGGTGGATCTCACTAAGGCATATTGTAAGCCTATATGGAAATGTCACAATGAACCCCTGTACAACTGACATTTACTGATAACAATGTTTTAAAATCAAAGAAGCCCCCAGCTCTGGGATCTGCTATACCTCCTGACACCAGGAGAGGGAGCCAAACTCAGGCCAGGATGGGCAGCGCTATGGGCCCTGGGCCGCTGACTGTCGCACTTCACAGCACACCTACCTCTGCTTCTTGCCTTCCGCCCTGAGCTTTATTAATGAAGCCAGCGAATTGGGATTTCGTTTTGTTTTACTTTATTTCTTGCAGTACTAGGGTTTGAACTCAGGGTCTCACCCTTGCTAAGCAGGCGTTCTACTTTGACCCACACCTGCAATGAATTTCTGTTTTTAAAAGAAGTGCTTACTGTTTATTACATGCATGCATGAAGATAAAATAATGAAACCCATGGAAAAATGAAAAAATAAAAGGCAAAAGTGAGCCTCGCAAGGATAAGGCCCAGAATTCAAACCCCAGTACCACCAAAATTGTAAACAAAAAAAAAAAAAAAGGAAAGGAGAGAGGGAGCAGGTAAGAAAGGGTAAAAGGGGTGAATTTGATCAAAGAACATCATATGCATGTGTGGAAATATCACAATGAAACCCCTCTGTACAATTAATAGGTGGTAATTAAAACAACAAAAACAAACAAAAAGACATACTCATGATTTCTGGGTCTTCTTGCCAGAGGTCAGTTTAGGACCAGGGATGTTCTTTATCCTTTTCAATACCATGTCTTCAGTGCTCAGAATTAAAATGAAGCTGGGCACACCGTTTGTGGAACCTCATCTTTGGCTATCACTGGCAAGAGTGACATTGCTTGTGTCCCACCAAAGAAAGCCATAAGTACAAAGCTCAAAGCCACAGGAGGACACTTCACACAGATGAACAGGACTTACCAATGGCTCTTGGCTGGAAAGGAGGGACTCCTGAGTGGATGGGGGAGGTTTCCATCTACCCCAACAGTTTTTGTCTGTGTGTGGAAATCTTAACCTCTCTGAAATCATGGCTAAGAATTGTTTTCCTCATCCCCATCCTTCCCCTCTTCACAACCGACCTCTGCTGAGAACACCCAGGGCCAGCTAAATGACCAAGAATCCACCCTGTTCCTTTCCCATCAAGTACTCAAGAAATGAGACAAGGGGATGTAGTCTGTCCCCAAATAATAATGTATGTCCAGCGCCTGAAGGAACAAGGTTGTAAATTCAGAGACAGAAGGAGAAATGGGAGGGACTGAGTTGGGTTTTGCTGTTTTGTGGTCGTTTGGGTGGTGCTGGGAATCGAACCCAGTGTCTTGCACATGCTAGGTGAGGGCACTACCTCACCCTAGACCTTGAATTTTCTTTTTATCTTCTCTCTTCCACTTTAGAAGTGGAAAATGTGCATAAGGCACAGAAAGTTGAAGGCCAAACATTGGCTACATAGTGAGACACTGTCTCCAAAAAAAAAAACCCCAAAAAACAAAAATCAGAAAAGAAAAAAATGCATATGATGGCGTGGACAGGACAGTGAGAGATAGGTGATAGGTAAAGAGATAGATTATAGATGATGGATAATTGAAAGCTATATAGCTAAATAATGGTGCAGGACCTTCATCATGAGTTAACATAAGTATTTAGAACTGTGCCTGCTACTTAGGGAGTACTCCAGAAATAGGGGAGGTGGCTAGTTAGTTATGCTAGGGCTAGTTAGTTAGCTATCTTTTAGACATCTGCATGGATGGGTGGGCAAATGGATAAAACAGAAAAAAACACAAAGAGTTAGAGACAGTGTTTGCATCTGAGATCAGATTCTTGCTGGGCACTATGGTTCATTCATGTAATCCTAGCTACTTGGGAGGCTGAGATTAGGAGGATCAGCTCAGGTAAATAGAGACACCCTCATCTCCAAAATAACCAGAGCAAAATGGATCTGGAGGTGTGGCTCAAGCAGTAGAGCACCTGCTTTGCAAATGTGAAGCCCTGAGTTCAAATCCAGTCCATTCGTGCTGCTCTTCAGAGTTTGGGGATGGAATAAACATTTTCGGGGTGAAGCTGAGGGATGATAAGACATCGTGGCTTCTGCGTTGAACCTTTACTGCACACCCGGGTACTGTGCAAACGGCTTTCCACAGATTATCTCATTTAACCTGCAAAGTTGCCCTATAAAATAGGTGCTACCATGGCCCTCCTCTTGCAGAGGGAAAGGTAGGTTCTGGAAGTCCAGAAAACAGCTCAGAAGAGACAATCTGAGGTGAAGTCCAGCCACACGTCATTTTACTCATTGTCATTTCCATGTTCAGTCACATGAAGCCAGCAAAAAACATCACATATTCCCACAGATTAATTCTTTAGGCTTAAGTCCCAGAAGAAAAAGGAGCTCACTCGAAAGTTATGAACATTCGGGGATCTGTAGTGAATTTCCAAATAAACTTTCAGCAATGCAAACCCATTTTCGCTTTCACTCACAGAAGAGAAAGGTTTCCATCTTGATTCTTATTTCAGTTTTATTTACTTATTTTGGTGGGACTTGAACTCAGGGCTTTGCATTTTCCAGGCAAGCACTTTACCACTTGAGCCACACCTCCAGTCCATTTCACTCTGGTTATTTCAGAGATGAGGGTCTCAAAAACTATTTGCCAGTCTGGCCTTAACCCACAATCCTCCTGATCTCTGCCTCCCAAGTAGCTGGAATTACAGGTGTGACCCACCAGCACCTGCTTTTATTTCACTTGACATTAAAGTGGATGTACATTTTCTTATCAGAATTCTCTAGTATAAGATGATTGAAAATTAAAGATAAGCCAGCTATTTCATTGTTTATTTTGAATTACTTTGTTACTTTTTTCTCTTTTTGGTGGCACTGGTGTTTGAACTCAGGGCTTCACAGTTGCTAGGCAGGTGCTCTTACCACTTGAGCCACTCTGTCAGTCCATCATTTGGAATTACTAGTGTACTAAATTACCTTTGAATGCCCAATTATAATAATTCAGCAGAGTTAAGCCTATTAACATATTATTTATTAATACATTAAACAATGTCAATGAACTTGAGTTATATTCCCTTACATTTGTGTATAGCATTAAAATTTACTATTGATAACAGAAAGAACCTTGAATATACATTGTAAAAAATATAAACTAAAGGTCAGGTGTGGGTGGCTCGCACCTATAATCCTAGCTATTCAGGAGGCAGCGATCAGGAGGATTTTGGTTCAAGGCCATTCCTGGCAAATAGTTCATGAGACCCTATCTCAAAAATACCCAACGCAAAAGAAGGGCTGGTGTACTTCCTCAAGTGGGGCAATGGCAGGTGGGCAAGAAACAAGGTAGGAAGTCACTGTCTACTTGCCCAGGGAGACAGGAAGTTTCTTGTGGGGTGGTGAAGATGGAGAGAAGGGCTGGTTTTGGGATATATTTCAGAAGATGATTCAGGAGCAGGCAACTGTTACCTATGGGAGCACTAGCAAAGTTTGGATGAGGACATTGTGGTGGTGACCCCTTCCCACAGTGAGGAGTGGAGTGGGGTTCAGGCCTGGTGTGGGGGACCAGTGGCTGGAACTCTGACTGGGGCAAAAAGAGGGGGAAGGGAAGGAGGCACAGGCTGAGGGGACAGAAACATCAACTGGCCTCTATGGACTTGGACAGATGACCCTGTGCCGGGGCCCAGGAGATGAAGAAGGAAGGAAATCATCACTGTGGCCCAATTGGGCTGTGGCTACTGGGATGTCCCTACAAGGACCCTTAGGGGCCACAATCTCACCGCTCAACAATAAAAGCAGGAAAGTCATGGCCTAGGCTCCAGCCACAGTCCAGATGTCATTGTCTGTGGTGTCATTGATAAACAGATTGTGGAAGTGACAGAGATGGGTAGATATGGTGGCACTGTCTGCAAACCAGCCCCATCAGCACAGACACCTCCTAACCCTCCCTTCCCAGCCAGCACTTCTGGACTGTGCAAAGCCTTTCTTTTGAAAATTTAGTTTTCTTTTCCCATTCCTAGTCTCACACTCTGTCCTCGGCAATCACTAATGTACTCCTGAATTTTTACTTTTACATCCTTTTTCTCTTTTTTATTAGTGTATACTACTTGTACCAAGGGCTCTCACTGTGAGATTTCCATATATGCACATTAATGTTCTTTGATCCGATTCACCCCTTCCCCTCTTTTAGAGCAATTTTTAACATGTTTCCTTTTCCTATTTTCATAAAAATATATGAAGTACTTTGGTTATATTCACCCCCCCCTTCAGTCTCTCACCTTCCTCCTCCCTCTGGTTCTCACCCTAAAACAGTCCCCTCCCCCATTCTAGAGTCATGTCTGTTTTAGGTCTGGATTCCACATGTGAGCGAGATCATGAGATATATGCATTTCTCGGTCTGGCATTTTTCACTTGACATGACTTTCAGCTCCTTTTTCTTTGCTTTTTTTTGGTGGTAGTGGGGTTTGAACTCACGCATACTGGGAAGGTACACTACAGCTTGAGCTACGCCCTCCTTTCTACAAGGCGAGAACCAGTCCCGACCACCAGGTGGCAGCCTTGCTGCAGTGCACCTATACAAACAATTGTGGAGATAGTTGTCCTTAACCAACAGCGTTTCCTAACCCACCTCCCTAAATTCCTGCCCCAGCCCAGACTCCACGGTCCTGCCATCTTTTCACAAATTTACCCTTCTTTGCCTAAGAAGTATAAAAGCACCCAGCGAGGGCCGTTTCTTTGGATCCCACAGAGATAAGTAAAACTTGTACACTTTCTTGCTCATCTGCCTCTCGTTGATTTGATTGCCAGCCCAGCCCTAGATCCCTCCAGGATGGGCACTGAGGACCTCCAGCCTCCCCTGCACTGGCAGCAGGGGTGTGGAGGGCCGAGTGGCAGAGTATAGGCAGATGCCAGGACACCAAGGTCAGCACTGGAGCTACACTATGGGGAGTTCAGCCCAGAGACCCCGCTCCCCTCCCAAGGCCAGGCACCTACTCCATGGGGTTACCTCCTGGATAGAAGGAATCACCCTGGACTGCAGGGTACTGCTGAGCTGGGGAAGGCAGACACTGTAAGGGAGCCCGCAGAGCTGTCCCAACCCCTCCTTCACAGAGCCAGAGGATTGTCTTGGCAAAACTGCCCACCCAAGAGACACTGGTACTTAGGGGTCCCCCGATGAAATGCAGTGACCTAGCTGTAAGGATGAACAAAAAGCCATGTTAGGATTGGACCCCCTACTCTTGCAGGCAGCTTACTAGCGCCTCACCACCTCCTGGAAAGACCATTATATCTAGCCTCAAGGAAATGACAAGCTACCACCTCGCCAGGGGGTACCAAGCCGAGCACCTTATCTACCTAGTTACCACTTGTCTCCTCTAGCTTCCCCTGGCATGGTTGACTCCACTCCGGAAGACTCTTCCCACCCAGCGGAAAATTTTTCCGCTCCAGACCACTCCCCCGAATCTACTCCACGTCTGTAAGCGGCTGTGGGCTGCAGCTCTCTTGCTGGGAGCCGCTTCCACAAGGTTCCTTCCCCAACAATAACTCCATGCACTGGCATTTGATCGTCTCTCTGCCTCTTCCATTTCTAATACTAGCTACAGCAGTAACTCAGAGAAGGAGGTGGACAGACAACTGGGGAATGCCTGAACCCGCGCCTCTCTCCAGCTCGGCAGGATGGAAGCGGAACGGCCGGGAATTGTGCTGTGTCCCAGCCGTGCGACCCAAACGCGCAGTGCGACACAGGAGAGCTTCGAACTCGTGCAGTTAGACACTTTTATTACTCTCGATGCTGGTGAACTGTCAGGGACGCGCTTCTGGGACATCTCATCGGGCGCCTGCAGCCTTGCCCCTGGTATAGTTTCTCAGAACCACAGCCCCCCTCTTCCACGTCCCCACTGTGTCCTGGGAGAGAGACAAGACCCACACCCTTGTCCTCAGCCTCCCTTCATCCAGGAGCCTCCGCTCCTTTCCGGGGCTCCTTTCCCACATGGGCCGGGTCCTGGGCCGGCCTGCGCTCCTGTCGGGGAAAGGTTGGTGGGATGGAGGGGGGCAGTGAGGGGACGCCGTCACTGGGCAGGAGAACCGCACTCAGGAGGGGTAAGGGTCGAGGCCTCATAGGGAGGGAGGGCAGGGCAGGGGTGGTAGCAGGGTGGCCGCAGGCCGACTACCCCAGCGGCCAGGGCGGGAAGGCGCCGCCGCCCTCGGGGCCTGGTGCCGCGGTCCCCTGGCTGGCTGCCGCCCGGCCATGGATGCGCTGGTGGCGCAGCACGTGCTCGCGGCGCCCGAAGCCCTTGCCGCACTGCCAGCAGGCGAAGGGCCGCGCGCCAGAGTGCGTCTTGCGGTGGCGCACCAGGTGCTCACGCCAGTAGAAGGTCTTGCCGCACTCGCAGCACGCGTGCGGCTTTTCGCGCGCCGGCAGCGGGCGCAGCGTGAGGCCTGGGCTGCCGGGGTGCGTGCCGCGGTGGCGCCGCAGGTGCTCCTTGCGCCGGAAGGCCTTGCCGCACTCGGGGCAGGCGTGAGGCTTCTCGCCGGAGTGGCTCTGCCGGTGGCGCAGCAGGTGCGCTGGCTTCAGCGGCGTCTTGCCGCACTCGGGGCAGGACGCGGCGCCTGGGGCTGCCAGGAAGACGGGCAGGCCGGGCGCCAGCGGGGCCGGCGGGGGGCTGCCCGGTTCCTGCTTGTAGGGCCGCGCGGCCAGGGCATCCCCGGTTGCCGGCGCCTCCGACTCGGGGGCGGCGGCTCCTGCGGGGAAAGGCGCTGGGTCAGGCAGCGCAAGCAATCGGAGGGCAGGCAGAGCCGCTCACGGCTCACAGAGGGCCACCCACCATCTGTGCTAGCTGCGCATTAAAGAGTCCCGAGCTTGCGCCCGGGAGCACGGGGCGGGAGGAAGGCGGTACCCAGTGAAGAACAGGAGGATGAGTGCAGGGGAAGGGGACAGATGGACACATGTGTGAGGAACGATAGGCAAATAGAGGGATGTGAGACCAAGAGCTGGGAAACTGACAGACAAGTAGGAAAGGATGGGTGGGCTGACTACGTGGAAAAGGCTGGGTGGTGTCTGTGGATCTTGGCAGACAGGTAGGCAATGGGCTGGAGGGGCAGTCAACTGGGTGACAGAGGAGCCTTTGAGACCCAGCAACCTAGACTTGGTCAGTTCTACATCATGAGCTTAGGTGATCATCTTCTGCCTGGAAGCACTCCTCCTCTCCCAGAGCTGGGTCTTGCATCTGTGTCCCTGCCATCCCTGCAGAACCTCTTCCTGCATACAGCCAGCATCCCTGGCTGCTGCCCCACTCTCTTTTTTTCTGAAGAGCCATGGGAGGAGCCCTCCTCATCTTTACTGTGCAGTTTGGGCAGTGCTGACCTCACAACTAACTCAAGGCAGGCACATGTGCCAGGCCAGGCATCACACCCTGGCCAATGATACCAGGGGGCTGAGAGGAACTGGGAGGGTGCTCCTGAGACTTGGGGAGGTGGGGACTGGCTATGTGGAGGGCCACAGCTTTGATATCTGCAGTTGCAAAATGCAGGTAAGAATGACTCATCTCATTTGGCATGGTGGTGCACACTTGTAATCCCAACAGTTGGGAGTAGAAGGCAGAAGGATCTCAAGTTCAAGGGCAGCCAGCTACACAGAGAGACCCATCTGGGAAAAAAGGCCCCATCTCTGGAAGAACCACTGTGGGGTTTTGGTGCCCGCCTCACACCAACAAGCCAATACTTGTCACTGAGCACTCTCCATCCTGTGCCTGATGTGAGGGCTGGGGACATGTCTGAGTCATCCGAGACTGGTAAGGGCAGGAGGTCAATCCCTGCCTGGCCTGGGAGTCATGGAGTCCCAGTGCTGGGTGTCCCCAAGAGAAATGTGGTAAGGGGTAAGTTGCTCACCTAAGGGAGTCATCCCACTATCCTCCTTTCCAACACTGACCCCACAACCTTCTGCCAGGTCCCGGGATGCCTTCATTGCTGACAACCGATCTGGGGAGGTCGCTGGGCCCTGAAACGAGACATCACATCCCAAATGGAGAAACTGGAGTGATAGTTGTTATTTTTCTCCCTTTCCTCCCTACCTTCAGCCAGTCATCACAGCCCCTCTGTGCAGTGGGGGAAGCTGGCCATGTGTTGGTGGACACTCAAGCCACCCTACAGAAAGGCCCAAGGGCAAGGATCTGAGGCTTCCACCCCCCACAGTGCCAGGGAGCTACCTTGGAGGCAGATCCTCCAGCCTCTACCGCCCCCCCCTCTCCCAACACCGTAACTGATCTGAGGGCCCCTGAGTCAGATACACTTGCCCAAGCTAGTCCACCTACTGACCCTCAGCAGCTTCCTAAGCTGATAAGTGTTTCTAGTTTTAAGCTCCTAACTCGAGTCATTTTGTTAAACAGCAACAGATAACTCATACATATGCTTTAAATCTTACTTTAGCTTCTCGATGCCCTTTGTGTAAACTTCAGGAGAGGACATAAACGCTATGTGTAGCTCAGAAAAACACAAAGTAAGATCAGAACCAGAGCTTTTCCCAGAAAATACAGAAGACACCTGCTGAGCTGGATGGTACCTGGCAGGAAGCCCCAGGTTCAAGAAAAAAAGTTTCTTTACACTGTCATCATCATCCCTTAAAGTTTACACCCCAGGAAGACAGAACTCCTCAGGTGCTCATGGGTGAGAGAGGAGCTGGAGTTGAGTGGTCATGTCACATTTTACCTGTTTTAGGCCCTTTGGACTGTGGCCAGAGATGGCCTGCTTCATGAGAAGCAGTCCCAGCCTGTTCTGAAAGCACAAGGGTCCACAGTTGCCTGGTCTGGGTATGAGGTGGCAGGACGGACAGTTTAGTGGTCAGCTCTCAACCTGGTAGACTGTGAACCGGTTCCTGACCACTCCAGCAGCTCTGGGAGTTGTGGGCTATGGGCGCTGTCCCCCTGCTTGTTCCTGTGATGGCCCCAGACCTTGAAAATCCTCTGGCTCCACCTGTAGCTGGGCCCCTGCCTTCAACTCTAATCTCAGGCTACAAAGTCTCTGTACCTTATTGGTAGGTTTACCAATGACAGGCCATCCTTGAGTATCTGAGTTAAACCCCACCTAGCTGCAAAGTGTCAGTCCATCAACCCCTGGCTGGATTCGAGTAGCTCAGATTTCTACTTGGGATTCTTCTGTCTAGTTCCAATGAGACAGGTCTACAACATTTGCTTTCTTGGGCTATCCTTATATAGCTAGGTTGGATTGGGGGGAAGAGGGTTCACAGCCTTTAAAAATAAGCTGATTGTGTTCCTCTTTTTTTTTTTGGAGGTACTGGGGTTTGAACTCAAGGCCTACACCTTGAGCCACTTCACCAGCCCATTTTTGTGATGGGTTTTTCGAGATAGGGTCTCTCAAACTATTTGCCCAGGCTGGCTTAGAACTGTGATCTTCCTGATCTCTGCCTCCTGAGTAGCTAGGATTACAAGTGTGAGCCAGTGGCACCTGGCACTGTTTGTGTTCTTAATTTGTAAAATGTAAAAATAATCCATTCCTTGGAGATCTGGCAAACACACAGGACTGTTGGGGCTTGATGTCTTTTTTTTTTTTGAACTCCACCACTTGAGTTAGTCCACCAGCCCTTTTTTTGTGATAGGCTTTTTTCAAGGTAGAGTCTCTCAAACTATTTGCCTGGGCTGGCTTCAATCCTCCTGATCTCTGCCTCTCAAGTAGGTAAGGATTACAGCTGTGAGCCACTGGCACCCAGCCTGCCTGGCCTGATGCCTTTTTCTGGCTGTCAGACTCCAGATCCTCTGCTTCTTCATGAACGTATTTTTTTCCTCTAGGCTTCACATGCCTGTGTAGGTTGTACAAACCCCAGCAGAGCCCAGTGTCCAGGCTGCACTGGCTTTTACCACCAATGGTCATTTGTCATCTCATTCTGTTCCCGGGCAACATGCTAATGGTTTGTGCTGAGTTGTTTAGTTTTGTTTTTTTAATGCAGCACTGGGTTTGAACTCAGGGCCTGCACTAACTAGGCAGATGTTCTACCACTCTACCATTTGAGTCACGCTCCCCCCTCCCAAACCGCCCCCAAGCTCTCTTATTCTTCTCAGAGAACAAGTTTTGGGCTTTGTTGCTCAACATGCCCTGACTTTTTTTTTTTTTTTTTTTTTTTGCTAGTTTCTGCTTTTACACTTAGTTATTAATTTGTGCTATTTTCCCATGCGCTGCCTCTGGAGCCCCAGAATTTCCCTTAATTCCTGACCTCAGCCAGACTGACCTGGGCACTCCCCCTTGTTGTGCTAACTGGGCACTGGCCATTGCTGCTTCTTCCTCTTTGCAGCTCCCTGGCCCACCCACCAGCCTTTCTTTGGGTTTCCCAGGCTGGCACACACCCTGCCCCCACTGTCTCAAATAATCCTCTCCAGCTACTGTATGCTGAGACCAGAGCTGAGTGACTACAGGCAGGTCATTTGATCTCTCTGACCAGATCATATTCTCTCTCAACAGAAATGGGGAGGCAGACTGTGCCCTCCCCAGCTTTGTCAATGGTGCATGTCAAGACAGGGCAAGGGTTATTTATTCCCTCCAAAATAAACATTTTCTTAGCACCTACTCTGTTCCAGGGGCTGTGTTAAGCACCAGGCACACATTAGTGAACAAGAAACAAAGAGCTCCTCAGTAAGGCCAAGTACACATCCAACTAGAGTTGGCCACACCATCAAAAGGAAACACATTAGGGCTGGATATAGCGATACATGCCTGTAATCCCAGCTACTCATGAGACAGAGGTAGGGAATTGAGACCAGCCCAGGCAAATGTTAGCACTAGATAGGGATCTGACATACAAACTAAAAGCAAAAAGGCCCAGGGTGTGGCTCAAGTGGTAGAGTGCTTGCCTAGCAAGTGTGAGGGTCTGAGTTCAATGGAAGGAATTTTTTTATTCTACTAGATGTATACATTAACTGGGTGCCAGTGGCTCACACTTGGGAGACTGAGATCAGGAGGACTGAAGTTCGAGGCTAGACTGGAGAAATAGTTCATGAGATCCCATCTTTAAAATAACCAGAGCAAAGTGGGCTGGAGGTGTGGCTCAAAGTAGAGCACCTGCTTTGCAAACTTGAAGCCCTGAGTTCAAACCCTAGTCCCACCCAAAAAAATTAATAAATAAATAAAAGTAACTACCACCCACTTTTACCATCCTTACCTCAAAGCACATTTTAAAGCCACAGAAAGAGGCAATGAACTCAAAGCAGTAACAACTACTCACAGATGTGGCACCTGTGTGCCAGGTCCAGGTCCTGTTCTGAGCATATTCCTATACTGCCTTGTTCATTCTTCCCACCACTCACCCAGAGCCCCTCCAGCAGGGCCACCGCCTCCTCGCCGTTCTGGGGCCGCCGGCTGCACACCCAGGCCTGGACCTCAGCAGGCAGCGCGCTCAGGAACTGCTCCAGCACCAGCAGCTCTAGCATCTGCTCCTTGCTGTGCACCTCAGGCTGCAGCCAGTCGCGGCACAGGGCACGGAGCAACCCCAGTGCCTCACGGGGCCCAGATGCATCCCCCAGGTGGAAGTGGCGGAACCGGTGCCATGGCGAGCCCAGGGTCAGAGTCTCCACTGACTGGCTCTCCTGCTTCACGGGTTGGGGCACTGGGGCCTCCATTGGGCCTTCTGGGTCAGGTGGGCAGCACCTGCAGGAGAAAGGATCAGAGATATAAGGGCCAGCCTGGTTTTCCTGAGACCCATGTCAAAAGCAAGCAGCTGTGGAGTCCCAGGCACAGCTGGAGTGAGCCATTGCCCTGTGCCTTGGTTTCCTTCCCAAAGATGAGCTGCCCTTGCCTGCCTGCTCCCTGGCCAAAGGCAGGACGGGAGCCCTAGAAGGCCCACTCTAGGGGCCCACTCTAGTGCTGATGAAAGGGTGGCTATGAGCCCCTCCTGACATTCCTAGTTCTGCCACCAAGACATCAACTTTTTCTCTGAAGTACTAGAGAGGTCTACCAGCATTGGCTTTCTGTTGAAACTCCTTGTTTTCAAACTTAATTAAATTAAAATTTTAAAAAAAAATTCCCCTCCTAGGTCTGAAGGGACTCAAATCCGGGCCCTACTCCTTCCTGGGGTGACCCCAGGCATCATGGTAACTTAGTCACCTCCAAGCGCCTTCCACAGTTTCCTTGTGAGGATTAAACAAGAAAACATAAGAAAGGCAGGGGGCAGAGGTTCAAGCCTGTAATCCCAGCTACTTGAGAAGTGGAGATCAGGAGGATCATCGTTAAAGGCCAACAGAAAGTAAGACTCCATCTCAATAACAAAAAAGATGGGCCTGGTGGTGTGTGCCTGTAATTGCAGCTAGAGGAGGCATGAGTAGGAGGATTGAGGTCCAGGGCACGCTGGCCAGGCAAAAATTCAAGATTTTATCCAATGAGCTGGTGGAGTGATTGAGCGGTAAGGGCTCCTGCCTAGCAAATGTGAGGCTCTGAGTGTTTAAACTCCAGTGCTACCAAAAGAAAAAAAAAATCCTATCCAAAAAATAACGAAAGCAACTGGAGGTATAACTCAAGTACCACATTTAAAAAAAAAAGAAAGAAAGAAAGAAAAGGGCTCCAAATAGGGCCTGGCAGGTAACAAGAAATATGAGTTCCTATCAGAATTGTCATTAAGGGGCAGACACTCCAGGATGCCACCAGAAGCCACACCCCGGCCTCTTCTCATGAATTGCTGTGGATGGAACTGTGTCCCAAATTCATGTGCTGCTACCTAACCCTACTGTGATTGGTTTGGAGATGTGGTTTTAGGAGACAGTGAAGGTTGAACAAGGTCAGAAGGATGGCACCCACCTGGCACAGAACTGTGGACTTTCAGGAGGAAGGGAGCTATTTCTCCCTTTCTGCCAATGAACCCATGGCTCTCTGCAAGGGGAAGGGGCCCTGGCCAGCCACCTGGCCACGCTGGTACCCTGACCTCCCACTGAGAGGTAAGTTCAGCTCAGGCCTTGTTATATCTGGGTGGTGTGAAACAATTTACTCCTTGGATCTGGAGGCTAAAATCTGAGATCAGAGTACAACATGGTGGGCTGTGTCCCTATGTGGTGGGGACAACCATCCCCAGCTGTCCAGGGACAATTCATAAGGACAGACATCCCTGGTTGAGAGCCACTGGCCCAGTGGACAAATATTGACTGTGAGGCCTGTGTACCTACCAGCTATGTGTCCTTGGACAAGGTGTGACAGCACCTTTACACACTCTTATCCATCTCCATTCCCTTGGCTGTAAAATGGGGAGGAAAAATAACACTGGCCCAATAGTGCCAGTGAGAATTGATACATACAAGGAAAACAAAAGGCTGAGAAGGACATCTGCAATTATCCTAGGCAAATCAATTCAGTGTTCACTACCATCATGACTTTGTCTTAAGTCTCTTGTGGAGAACTAGGACAAGATGCTGGGAAACACATACCCAGAATAAAATACAGAAACAGTCAGGCAATGGTGGCTCATACCTGTAATCCTAGCTAATTGGGAGGCTGAGCTCTGGAGGATAGAGGTTCAAGGCCAGTTTGGGCAAATAGTTTGCAAGACCTCATCTCCAAATAACCAGAGCAAAATAAGAGTGGAGGTGTGGCTCACGTAGTTCAGCGACTGCTCTGCAAAGCACAAAGCCCTGAGTTCAAACCCCAGTCCTGTCAAAAAGAAAACAAAAACAAAACTACGTAGACATATGCATGTACGTAATGTAATTAGAAAAGGCATAGGCGTTCAAGTAGGACAAAAAAGAGGGTGAGTCCACCGGGAAGAAGCAACTTCTGCCGGTCATGGCAGTCTCTAAAGCCCTTCCTGCACATTAACCAGTTTAGTCCCGTGCAACAAGCTCACGGCGCAAGTGCTCTTAACCGGGAAGGAAATGCACAGGGCAGCGATGCTTGTCCTGGCGAATGTCCACTCTACAAGGTGGAAGCACACATGCGAAAGCACATAAGGAGAGCTGCCCTCCTCTGAACCGCTCCGGAAAACGAAGTAGGCCTGGCGCTCCGGACTCCTCTGTAGGGTCGGGTTCCCATCCGGCTTCAACCCTACACCGTCTCCAGCATTCCCGTGACCCCACTCCCGCTTCCCACGCCCTCCCAGCGCCCCACCCAACTCCATGTCTACGCTTCCACCTCCAGGACCCCCGAAGCCTCCGGTTCCCGGCCCGCCCCCAGCCCCTCCCCCTCCCTTCCTTTCTCCCTCCCCCTCCTAGCCCCCTCCTCATCCACTCTACCAACTCCCCCATCCCTTCCTCCTTCGCCCCCGCCCCGCTCCCCATGGTTTGTCCGCCCCTAATCCCCCAGTCCCTCCCTCCTTTCCTCTTCGCTCACCTCACGCTCCAGGGCGAGGTCCCTCAAGCCCCCTCACCTTCCCGCACATGCGCACAAAAGCTCACCGGGACTCCATGCCCCGGCAGGCTTTGCGCCAAACTCACCCGTCCCCCTTCCCACCACCGCTTTCCCTCTCCCCAACCGGAGGCGCGCGCTCTATTCTACAACTCCCCTAGTCCCCGGTTTCGTCAAGAACTACATTCCCCAGGAAGCATCGTGGGAAAACTGGCTTCCTATTGGTTCTCCTGGGACAACCCGTGCACGCCAGTGTGTCCCCCTTCTTGAGCCTATACCAGCGTCAAAACTACACTTCCCAAGATGCACCGGAGCGTGGCCTACTCCCTTTTGGCCCCCGCAGGCACAAACTGAGCACGCCAAAGCTTTGGACTACGCTTCCCAGAATGCACTCGGAAGCTTCCCATTGGCTCGCGAGCGGCCCAGGAACATGCGCAGATTAGCCAAGGGAAGGAGTAGGTGGATCCATGGCCGCGTTGTTGCGGAGACTGGCGGAGGCTGGGCACTGCCCGGCATTCGGGAAATGAGAATTTGGAAGCTAGAATCACGGCAAGGAAGAGGAAGAAGAGGAAACGCCACTCCCCCGCCCGGGCCTAACTAAACAGTGCGGAGGCTGGAGCTGGGAGTCGGGACCTAAGCGGCTTCGGAGATGAGCCGACGTGGGAGCCCTGGCTCGGCCTTCACTGTGCGAGCTGGGACCAGTACCGCCCTCTCTGTGGCCTCAGTCTCCCCTCCTGTGAACGAGGGGAGAACACTGCCTGTCCTGCGGCCCGGATGGGTCCCCATCGCGTCTCGAGATGGAAGTGCAAGAGGCGGGTCAGCTGCGTCTCCTGGGTGGAGGTGCACGGTGCAGTCGGCTCCCGGCCGGGCAGATGGGAGACCCCTTGTCGTAACGGGGACAGCGACTGGCACAGAGCTTGCAGTCGTTCAGCGGAAATTGGTATTGTCTTTACAAATTCGCAGGACAGCATCTTTGCCCTGGGCTTTAGAGCTGTTAATTAGGGGACTTACGACTTGATGACCAGCCTCCTCACGTGGCCACCTGTAAACACAGTTCCGTGGCATTTGTTCTTTTTGCTATGCAACATCACCACCATCCACCTTCAGAACGTTTTTAAAATCTCCTCCTGTTAATTCCTCGTTTTTTATTCCTAGATCCCTTAATCTCGTTTACATTCGAAACTGATGGCCTTTTTTTTGGGAGTCAGGATCTCGCTATATAGCCCAAACTTGTGATCTCCTGCCTTAGCCTCCCAAGTGCTGGTATTACAGGTATGTACCACTATACTGGCTCTCCCACAGGATTTTTTAAAAGGCATCTCAAACCTACGGTGGCAGCCAGGTATGATGTTGAAGGAATGTAGTCCCAGCTACTCAACTGAGGCAAGAGTATTGAGAGTTTGAGTCCAGCCCAGGCAAAGTTAGTAAGACCCTGTCTCAAAAATAAAATAAAAACAAAATGGGCTGGAGTTGTGGCCCAAGTGGTAGAGCACTTACCTAGCAGGTGCAAGACCCTAAGTGTAATCCTCGTGCTGCAAAAACAAGCAAAAAAACCCCTAAGGTGGGCAGTAGAGAATTTTTCACTCTTCCCTTCCCACAAAGAAATTTGTTTCTTCCACAACTTCACCATGGTAGAACACAAGTCCATGAGCTGGAGGTGTGGCTCAAGTGATAGAGTGCTTGCCTAGCAAGTGCAATACCCTGAGTTCAAATCCCAGCACTGCTCAAAGAGAATACAAGTCTATCATTCACCCAAATGTTCAAGGGTGACCCTTGGTTCTCCTTTTCATCACCCCCACATCTACTCTTAACAGTAGGTCCCCTTTGCTCTGCCTTCAAGACAATTGGACTTTATTCACACCTTCACCCCCCTCACTACCACCTGGTCCAAGTCCCTGTGACCTCCCTGAATATTGTTTGTGTCCTCTCTAGCCTTCTCCACCCCTGTACCCAGCCTTATCTGGACACAGCCAGAGGCATTTTTTAAATTATTTATTTATTGTGGTAACGTGTACATAATACGAAATTTGCCATATTAACTTTTTGCTTTACAGTGCTGGGGTTGGAACCTAGGACCTTGTGCATACTAGGCAAGTGCTCAACCTCTGAGCTACATCACCAGTGTATTTCCCACTTCTGAGTGTGTGGTTTGGTGGCATTTAAGTACATCCATTTTGTTGTGCATCCACCATCCACCTCCAGTACATTTTTACCTTGCAAAACCGAAACTCCTCACCCATTAAACAGTAACTTTCCTCTCCCTCACTTTACCCCAGTTCTGCCAGCAAATATTCTACTTTCTGTTTCTATGAACTTGACTACTCTAGTTAACTCACATAAATGGAATCATACAGTATTTTTCCTTTGGTGAATGGCTTATTTCATGTAGCTTACCATCCATGTTGTAGCATGTATCAGAATTTCATTTTTAAGCTGGTCATGGTGGGGCACACCTGTAATCCCAGGGGGATTGTCTGGGCTACCTAGTAGGATCTCACCTCAAAAATCAATAAATAAAAATATCCGTGTGCATGAAAATAGGGCATTTTGTTTATCTGCTCACCAGAGAGCTCTTTTTTAGACATAAATAGGGTCATGTGTGTCTTTTGCTTAAATCCCTCCAGTGCAAACCTGGATCCTGGCCTGCACAGTCCCCCACAGGCCCTAACCCCTTCAGACCCAGAGTTCTTCCATCGGCCTTTGTGCATGTAATACACGGGGATGGGGAGCGGGGCAGAAGCTGCAAGCCTGGCGAAGGGCTCAGCGAGTGGGCTGGGCGAATTTTCCTGCTTGGGCAGGAGCCTATAAGCTAGGTGCAAGGTTCACACAGGCTGTCAGCCCAACTGCACTTCCACACTTGCTCACTGTGTGCCTCTAGCACGGGGCTTCTCAAAGTCAGGTCTCCAGACGTCACCTGGAATTTGTTGGTCATGTGAACTTCTGGCCAGAAACTCAGGCAGAGGATCAGCAATTTGTTTTAAGGAGTCTCCAGGGGAACCCCCACCCCCACCCCATGCATCCCGCCTGCACACTTCAGTGTTCCTGTGAGGATTCGTGAGCTGATAACGCTGCAAGCCTCCAGCACATTGCCTGGTGGGAGTTTTAACACTGGCTATTTTTACTTCACCTAGGTTGAGTAACTAAGAAAGGCAAGCCCAAGCCGGATGCAAAAGTGACTGTGGCCCCTCGCCCACGTACGTGTTAGCAAAACTGCTAATTTCCCCGCGGAACAATGTCTGTCTACCTCTTTGTTGCACTCACATGTATCAGACACATCATGATACACTCACTGTGCGGGTGCTGGGGACGCGAGGCCGCGGACGAGAACAGAACTCACGCCTGGCCGAACTACCCGGCGGAGATGTGGGCGGAGCAGGGCCTTACCCGTCTAAGCCAATCAGAGCCCGTCCGCTATCCCTGCCAGTGATTGGTGGAGGCTAAGGAAATGTGGAGATGGATTGGCTGAGGTATTTGTGGGCGTGGTTTTCCCCATTCTTAAAAGAGGTAAGCCGGAGCTAAAGATCGTCCTGCCTGTTCTGTCTGCGGTGACGTCTTAAGCGTGCTACCGTCTGGGTGCCATGAAGGGGTGGTGGCTGGAGCTCTACCTGGGATGGAAGGGGGGAGCAGACTGGGTAGGTCCTTCATGACATGGTGAGCGGCCTCAAGCCACTCTGGCTCAAGTTGTCTGTTCTTGAAACCTAAAAGGACCGCACATCCAGGGCCAGCCTCGTGGGATTACATCCCGTGTGGTGCACCGTGCGCAGCACTTGGCTTGATGCTCAGCCAAGGCCATCTTTTTTGCAAACACGGGGCTTTTGCTGGGTCCTGTTCACAACACATTGCAATGATGATGTGTGTAGTGTCCTTACGCACCATTCTGCAGGGGTGTGTAATGCACCACAAGCATTGACAAGGGATGGAAGGCTCCCTGGAACGTCTTCCTTTTCTTCACCAGGTAGCACCCTCAGTGATCAGGTCAGATGCCCCCTCCTGCAGGAAGCCTTCCCACACCATAGCTGAGCTTCCACAGGCCGCCCTCCTTCCCCATCTCATGCTCTTTTTTTTGTGATTGCACTGCACAGTCCCAGGCCAGGGACTCCATAACAGAAACCATGTCCTGCCGCCTGAGGTCCCCTGCTCCCAGCCTGGGGCTTCGCGGGGAATGAGGAAGAGCAGGAGGAAAGTGGTTGTTCCCCCAACTTCCCAAGGGTGAGAATTCCCTTGGCAATAAATTCAGCTCATACCCTCCTAACGCTTCTCTGCTCTTTTGTAGCACTGCTATAATTATTACTCAAAATAATAATTAACGTTTTTTGTGTGAATGGTGCTTTGAAGCAGCGGGATACTCCAGGGCAGGGCCAGGGTTTGGTCGCGGAGGAGGGGGTCAGGTTGTCTTTATTGGACAAATGATGGATGAATACGTGAGCGCAGGAGGGAAGCATGAGCAAGCTGCAGTGGCCATGTCCCTCGGTGCCCCGAAGCGGGACGTCCTGGGGAGGGAGGGGAAGGCTGTGTTGTCTGGAGCCCAGGGCCCCGGGAGATGTTTGGATTAAATTAATAAACGAATTACTTAATAATGGGTTCGCATCCCCCATGATCTCATCCCACCCTCATGCTCTCCTGGAAGACACGGGGCACATCAAAGCGTGCGGATTTCACAGCTGGGATGAGTGAGGCTGGAGAGGCAGGTGGGCATGGCACAGGCGAGGCCCATTCAAGTGTAACGAGAATAAAATACCGAAAGATTTGCTTGTAACCCCAGCTACTGAGGAGATAGAGTGCGTATTTAGAAAGCACAGGCTCCAGGGGGGACCAGGCCAGGTTTCACAGCCAGTAGCGGGCCTCGCCTGGCGCATCTGTGGGACCTCTCCGCCGCTTGGGGACGCGGTCCTCCTAGGCGCACAGACCACGCCAGGGGCCAGACTGGGCCGGACAGGGACAGGACGCGTAGTTTCTCGGGGGAGGATCCCGCGGCCCTGGTCCTACCCGCCTCTCTCTGGGGAGGCTGGGTTGGACGGATGCCCTTCCAGACCCCCGATTCTGGTGTGTGTGGGGGGGTGGGGATTCGATTCGGGTAAACTGGGGTAAGGGGTAGAAGAGCCCTCTGCTGT